ATTCTTTGGAAATGCTATTTTTGATTTTTACCTTCATTTATATGAATTCTCTTGACATTTTTGATAAGGTGAGATATAGAGTATTGAACATATAAAGAAGAAAAAAATAAATTGAATTTTATTTATAATACTGTCCAATACGATATATACGTTCATGCCAAATGTCCTTGAACTTTTAAAAGTGCATGTTTTAAGACTAAGTTCTTGTATCTTTAACTTAAATGATGGATACTCTCGTTCTACTTGATGAATATTGAAAATCTCTTTACTTCGTTAAAATTGTCTCTGTCTTTTATTGAACATAGCTTCTATTATACAAAAGCATCATGGCTAAGTTACACGTTTTGTCCCCAACATTGGCTCCTCATTGCACTTTTATTCTCAACTATTTTTCTTTAACATTTTTAACATCAACCTTCCATCAGTTATCACATCATCGTCACTCACGAATTCTGTCCATTTAGACGGTAAAGCCAGACGTAGGATGTGCACGTGAAATTTTTAACAAGTGTAAAAATTAGTTGTATATGCTTTTCTTTTCTTCTCTTTTTGGGTTTCTAATAGACCAAATAATATCGACGTTGCTTAAGAGTAGTTTTAAAAAGTTTAAAACTAAAATTTCATATTAAAATTACCCTCATCGGCCCATATTCTAAAAAATCTGAATCGTCCCACATGGCCGACCCAAAACCCATTTTAACTATACAATATCATTTTATATAGTGTCATTTTCATTGAGGAAGTATTGGATAAAAAGCACAAAACTCTCTTTTTCTTTTTCTGTTCATAACCCTTTATTCTTTAATCCTCTTTCTCAATGTCCTCATCCATCCATATCTAATCTTTGACCTGTCTAATTTAGTGGCCATGTGGCACACATTTCCTTTGCTGGACCTCTTCCATTTGATGAGCTGGAACAGGTTGCCAATCCGCTTTTGCCACCTCAGCGCCGCGGGCGGTTTTGATTGCTCTAAAGCTACACTGTTGATCTTGTCACTAGGCTTTCTCCATTTTTGGTTCTGAGAAATTTCACCATTATCTTCAAACTTGATTGATATGAAAGAGTCTGCAATTTGTCACAAATTTTGAGGTAGTTTTAAATTCTCGAAGAAAAACGATAGTTCAATTTATTTTTGCTTAAGATCCAATACATATATTTGAATCATCAAAGGAAATAATAAGAAATGAAATGAAGTCTTAAAGGGAAGGCAACCATGAATACATGATCCCACACTCAGATTATTACATATTCAGTGGTTAAGGAGTTAAGATTTTGGTGTCTCGAACATATTGTACAACGTTACTGTGTAATATGCCAAAGCGTCAAAAAATGCATTAACGTCTTCCCATTTATTGACGTGACTTTTACAATATCAAAGCAAAAGCATAGGTAGCAGCAACACACATTTTTAGATTAGTGATCTTAATCCTCTCAAACTATACTTAGAGAAAACGACCACCTAAAACGAACAAGGAAATATGGAAAAGTGTACAGTGTCATCTGCGGTCGGGAAGATATGTGTATAACATATTTATACTCAACTAAGACCAACCTTTAAAAGCTTCAGACGAGGTGGTTTAACGATGAATTTTTGAATTTTCTATCAAAAAATACTGAATTTTTTTTTTCTTTTCTACTTTTGGTGATATTTTCTTTATGGCAATTCAAACCCATAGAAAAATATAAGATCTAACAGAAAAGAAAAGCACAGACAGACAGACAGAGGGTGAAGAACTCTAACCTTCTTGACTGATAGACGAACTGCCAAAATTACCCTCAGATTTCTGCTGTCCAATATCAAGTCGATTGAACAGATTGCTTAAAGCAAAAATCTTTGGCAGGGGTATCCGAGTCTTTTTGTGACTGTAAGTTCCGTGAAGATAGCCATTTTTTGAAGCTAAAATTTGAAGCCTTTCATTCAAGCACAAGGCACAGACCCCTACAACTTCTTCTTTGGGATGAAAATTGCAGAATCCCATATTGTTGTTTTTTTGTTTTGTTTTATTTTGTTGGGTTGGGGTGGGGGGTGTTCAAGAAGAAACTTACAAGAGAAAACTATAGTGAGAAGAGCAGAAGAAATATGTATGTTGCACCATAGACAACTAGACAAGGAATTTAAGTGCTTTAAAAAAGAATAGTCCACAGATTCATAGTGATGTGCATAATCTAGTTTGGGTTTATAATTAAATGGACATCCCTTTCCACACTAGGCCATGTTTGGGCGTGATTAAAATATAAATTTCAATTTAAGTTAAAGTTAATAATTAATTTTAATTACATATTTTATGGATTCCACAATTTTTAAATTACACACTTTATCAACTTCTATCAAAATTTACTAAAAAATTTATTTTAATCTCCACTAAACAAAGACAAAATATGTCAAATGGAAGTACTAGGTGTACCGTGTACGTCGCGTAACTAGTAGTACAATTTCACATTTATATATCTCACAAATAAGATGTTAAATCATAACAACAACAACAACAATAATCATAATACTAATATATTATTATTGAAATAGAAATATAGGACAAATACAGGTCCATTATTCTCCATTAAATTATAATTCATTTTTCTCTTTCTTCATATCGACACACATTTTCTAATAAAATAATATTACATGTAAACCCCAAAAGAAATTCCTTCTTTCTTAACCATACATTTTTCAAAAAATTACCATTCATCTCATTATAACATGGAATAATGGGAGCCAAACCGTCTCAAGGATATTTTGTCAATTATTTATAATTTTATATTTGTAAATTTTTCAACAATTGATTTTTTCTTTAAATATTATGCGAAATGTCAGGGGTAAAGTGTAAATCTATAAAATATGGTATGTAAAGTATAATTACACCTTATATATGTGTGTATTTTGTAAATTTCCCACATAAAAATTTAAAACTAAAAGTAAATTGAACTCTTTCATTTCCCCATCGACGAATCTGTCTTTTTAAATTCCAAATGATTTTTGTTATTTACAAGATTTTTGCTATAAATACTTATTTATCTTCTACTTTTTTCACGTAATATTCATTTTTTCCAATGATGACTTAATTTAAATGTCCTTAAATTTCCAACAAAAGAAAAAAAGTAGTTTGACGGTCCATCCAACTGTGGCGGAGCCAGCACTCGGTGAGGGGCTGCTGCCACTCGCGCTTACTTCGTCGAAATTTATAGTTGTCATCGGGAGCCCGACGGCCAGGGAGGAGGAAACTTCAATTGTAGAGGCAGAAATGAAACCTATCAAGGTTTACTCATCCACCTTTAAAACTTATATATCCCACTGGCCACTCAACTTTAAACCATCTCACTCCGTTGGCCACTTGATCAAAATCGTTAATAACATTGTCCACGTTGCTGATATTATGATGACGTGACACATTAAATTGCTAATTAGATACCACGTCAACGCCATGTATGCAAATGAGTGACATAGAACAAAGTTCGATGAGTAATCCGTGACATGGAGCAAAGTTCGTTGAGTAACTCATTTGCACACTTGGCGTTTACGTGGCATCTAATTAGCAATTTAATGTGTCACGTCATCATGCTGCTAGCCATGTGGACAACGTTATTAACAATTTTGATCCAGTGGCCAATGGAGTGGGACGGTTTAAAGTTGAGTGGCCAGTGGGATAAGTTTTAAACGTGGGTGAGTAAACCGTGACACGTATGAAAGTTTAGTGGTTAATGAAACATTTAACTCCACAGGTTTATGAATTGGGGTTTTTTTTATGTTTTGGGCCTTTTTGGGCCTCTTGTTTATTAAAAAAAAAATAGGCCCAAATTCATATTCATGGAGCATGGACGGTGGACCTAGGACCTATGATTCAATTGAAAAGCAATTATCAAACGAGAAAATTACACCTAGTCCTAGGTTTAAATTTCCATTATCACAAATCAGATCTCTAATTTAACATTTCTAAAATCAGGTTTTTTTTATATCTAATTAAATAA